TTACTAGTTTTATTTTCCCCTGATATATGTGTACCTGTCTCTTATACACATCTAGATGTGTATAAGAGACAGTATATAAGGTTACTTAAGGTTACTTTTAATTTAAAAAAAAAAATTTTACTTTAAGGATTAATTTAAAGCCAATTTAACTTTTTTTTAATGTATACTTCTTATAAAATTTTATTTTAATTTTAAAAATATCTAAATTTTTCTATAAACATTTTAGTAATAATTTTTCAAATCTTATTTCACCCAAAGAGCGTTATTATGCTGATATTCCGTGAAGAGAAGAGCCCCGATGATGAAATCAAAGCTTGGCAATTCTGGCATAGTCGGCAGCATTCGGTTAAACAGCGCATTTTAGATGCAGGTGAGTCGAGTATTAACCACTTAAATTTATGAAGTGAAAAAGGAGAAAAAATCAAAGCGTTCGACGAATTATTTTAAATATTTTTTACATGGCAACTCTTTTTGAAAAAATATTGTTTTTGAGATATCAATGAGACTCTATATTACATATTTCACAGAAATAAAATATAACAAGCATTAGTTCTTTTTAGTTTTTATTAATTAAAAAAAAAATTAAAATTAAAAAATTAATTCCCAGAATTTTTCTAAAATTTTTAAAAAGATTTTTACTAAAATCAATTTTTTCGTAGTTTAGAAAACTCTATCTCACTGCTTCAAAACAAGGTGTTAACAAAACTGCCAATATTACTTTTGAATTTTTCTCATTAAACTAAGCTCACAGCATCTTGGCGTCTGCGCTGCAATAAAATTACATTTTTGCACTTGCAACAACGCACATTTATCATCCGCGCTGAGCTGTCATTCTTACGAAATTATTATGCTTGCTATTGTTGTCTAGACAAATGCGTTTCTGATACTCATTAAAAGTAAAAATTAACAGCTTGCCACGGCGATGCTTATCAGCAGCAACTAAAAGCTGAATAAAATGTCTAAGTGACAGAGGAAGCAAAAGCAAGACTGAGCCAAACACTCAACTGCGCGCATACTTTTTCCGTTCCTCAATTCGCAGTAAATTACAAAACTTTATTGAATTCTAACTATTGATTGTGAAATGTTGCAAGCTGCAACGATTTGCTGCCACTGATAAGCGCCGCGGCCACATGACCGGCCAATCGATCGGCTAGCCAATTGTATGTGTGCGCGCAAACACAAGCCACACAACATTCTCAAAAAAGCGCGCTTAGCTGTCTCATGGGGTTGGGGCTGGCTGGGGGTGTAACGACATTTGCTGACCGCCGCTAGTGTATACGCACTCCGCCGTTTTTTGTGCATACTTACCACAAAGTGGCTAACATTTACACACATTGCCGCGCTGCATTGTTGCAAGTTTTATGCCATTTTTCAGGCCCACCAGCTGCGTTGTCGGTGCATTCATCCGCACTGCTGATTGGGTGCTACGCGTGCGCATACTCATCCATTGGTTTTATTGGACGCGCACGCTCACATACGCGCGCCCATAGAACATGTGGTATGTGGCACTTTGACTGAATTGACAAATGTTGTAATTTTCATATGAGAATATTCAATTCTACAAATACTTATGTGCCTTGCGACTATCCTCTGCGCGCTGGCGCACCACCAGCGCCTTCAACACACAGGCGCCTGCTGTTTATTAACTGTTATGTATTGTATGTGTGCGTGTCAAATTTATGCCACATGCTGTTTATAAACATGTGGCATTTAATGAGTGGTGCGACTCATAATTTAACGGTAAATGTTAAATTTCATAACTGTTGTTTTGTCTTACAACTCGGCGCCGATCTTTCGTTCTTGGTCAAGTCGTAGAGCCGCTTCTGCGCTTCGCAGTGGAAAAATAAGCAACAAAAGTTGGGGAGCAAAGTTTATAAATAAACAAATAATTCACGAATTAGCGGTACATGCGCAATTTTATTAATGCATCATGTTAACATTGATTTGTTAGCGAACTGGCGAGAAGTTGTTACTTTTGAAAAATAAAAATAAAAATTTTACACAATTTTCAAAAAAAAATTTAACCAAAAAAAGGTATTGAAATTTTGATGAGTTAGCTTAAATAATATTATACTTTTTATATTTCAAATTTTTTTCGAATATTAATATTAATAATACTCATAGTTCAAAACTTTTTCAAAATTGAAAAGTTTTTCGAATATTAATAGTTTCAATTATGGTCAACTGGTTTTATATGATTCTCTAGTATATTTATAATATTCAGATTTCAAAACTTTTTCGAATATTAATAATATTCAAATTTCAAAATTTTTTGGAACATTACAAATTCAAGGAAATGAATACTATAAATATGCAAATACAAAATTTTTCAAAAATTTTCTAAACAACAAAGGTTTTATATATATTTTTATAATTTTTTTAGTATCAGATTTCATTGACGCATCTAGAAACCAACTATTACAATCTCACTTATTTTGTAACCAAACAAATTGCTCCTCTTAAAGGTCCCCTAATGACCAATCGATATAGTCATTTCGTTTAAGTACTTTGATATCCTCTTAAAGTAGTCATTTACCTCGCCATTTTAAATTTTCCCTCTCCCCACGCGACAATTATTAATTTGCCTGTTGTTGTTGTCCTACTTGCAGATACGAAAAATTCCGTCGGCCTAGTTGGTTGCATCGAGGAGGTCTCCCACAACGCCATTGCTGTCTATTGGAATCCGCTGGAGAGCTCAGCCAAGGTAAGTGCACCACCACCCAACACAATACGCATGCACTTGAAATTTGCAACGCTGAAGCAAAAAATATATGAAATAGTTTAATTAGCTGTTTGTGTCTGCGAATGGGAGCGGCACCGGAAATTGTCCCTTCATGACAGCAACTGGCTCGCACACCGAGCCACCGCTGATCAATGGCCGCAATACCAATTAACTGGCAAACAAATTAGCCCGGGGCGTTTAAGCGTCGGCAACACCGCCACCGCCAGCATCCACGAAAACAATGGCTGCAATGTAAGCGCTTTTGCCGGCTATGAATAATTACTACCGCCGCTGCCGCTGCCACTGCAGTTACACCCTGCCGCCTGGCAATTATTCGTTGTCGCGCGGCCCAACACCGTGGACGTTGACAAAGTCGTTGCCGCGCAGAAATGCAGATGCAGAATGCACGCCGCGCAGTAGCCACCGCACACTTACATAACGGCTACTGTACACGGTAGCCAAAGTGATCAAAGCGCAGAGCAATTGATAGCACAGCACATGCTGTTGACGTGGCGTGGTCCTGGTGTGGTCGCCCCTCACAGTTTGCAGCCAATGAATTTAATGATAATGAAAACCCATAAATATCAAAAAGCGATTAAAGCTAATCAAGCTTAATTGCGAATTTCGCGAAAGCACACACAAACACACATGCGCGCACACACACACATACAGCTAAGCAGCGGCTAAAATGTATGATAAAAAGTCATTGCATCACCGAAAGCGTGCAACCTTCCTACAACAAACTGGGCATCCGCTTAAACGCGATGAAGTGACTGCGGTGTGCGCATGCTCATAACTTATAAAAAAATATCTCAATTTCCGTCTGCGCTGCAGTTGTGGCAACCAGCGCGGTGTTGCAGAGTAGAAATCCTTGCCACGCTACCGCAAGCAACGTTCAACCGGTAGTGGGTTATTACAAGTTTGTTGCTATTATTGTTATCGCTACCGCTGTCGTTGCGTTAACTATAATTATTGTTTTCGCATTTGTGTTGTTACTCTTGTGCCGCTATTTTATTAACTAAATTCAACTGCAGGGCTGAAAGTAGTTTTGCGCATGCGCGTCGCTGTTACTTGCTTTATATTCTTATTGGATGCGCGGCGCTATCACCGAATGCTGCTTTTAGTGTTAGCGTGGTGCTTTTATAGCTCCTTTTTTCATTTTTGTTCCGTCTCTCACAGCTGACAACTACTGAATTTCTATACTCTTTGAAAACAACACTGAATTTCAATTATCATTGAAATCAACAATAAAATATGATTGATTTCGCTCTCTGTTGCAACAATTTTTATTTGTGTCGCCTACCACATCATTGATATTTAAAAGTAATATTAAATTACAACCCTTCATGGTTGAATGGATGAAATTCGTCTCAGAAAGCTTTTACTGTTTTTTTTTTTTACATTATTTAAAAATGTTTTCAATCCAAAATATATTTAAAAAAAATATTAAAAATTATTTGGTTACTATAACGTAATATTTTCTGATTATTTTTTTAATTCGATAACTTTACTCAAATATCAAATATTTTTCATATCAAAATAAAAAAACTATGTATATTATATACATATATATGAATATTTTCTGCATATATTTGAATGGGAAAGTATCAAATACGTTTCAATCATTATTTGAAAATAATTTATTAAATTTTGCTTCTAATACCAAGCCACGTGCACTCAAACTCATATTTAAATATACATGAAGTGAGCTTAGCTGCTTTTATTTGCACGCTCAAGCAAGCTCTAAGCACAGTATGCCCAAAAAGCAACAGCCATGGAGCCAAATTTTTGGGTGTTTTTTCACACATTAGCACCTGAGAAATGCAATGGCGCGTACAACAAAAATGCTAATGAGAAAAGCAACCAAAAACTCTGGCGCAGAAAAAACACACAGTAAATTGTTTAGCAACAACAAAGTGAAATGATAGCTTTAGATACCTTTTCAATTTAGTTTTAATGTTTTTCTTTTAATTTTTAATTTAACTTTTTTAAATATTTTTTTAATTTTTGTTTTTTTTTGATAAATATTTTTAAATTTGGTTGAGTATATTTTATATTTCTTTATATTGCTCCTCAACACCGAAGCAGCCATTGGCAAACAGTTAACATTATGCATTCAGCGTTTGTGTGAGTTCATTTTCTACACGAGCTCACACGCCGCTCATGTGTGTTAAAAAAATTTCATTAAGAATAAGCTTTGAATTCTACTAATTTAATCACAGCAACTACACATGCATTGCATTCAGCTTAACTTAAGCACTTAAGTTAACGCACGCGCGACTGAGACTGAGCGATATTTCGTGCGCCATATTTTTACGCTTGCTGTCTCTGTTGCGCCGCGCAATTGGTTGGCTGGCAATTGCTGGCATTAAGCACATAACTACATAAGCACGTAAGCACATAAGCAGTTATGCATACACAAGTGTCACACAAAGTCGAGAACACATAAGTACAGGTATGTGTGGCAGTGCTGCGACACAGAGCGATGTGTCGGCCATTTGAAAAGCGCATGCGCRCACTTTTTCACACAGAAATTAGGTAAAAAATTCGCACACGAGTTAAGCATGTTTGAGCAGCGTCGAAATATGCTTGTATGTACGCAATTAAAATTAATTATTTAATTAGGAATTCAAATTAATAAGCGCTTGTAAATAATAGCCGCTAACTGCAGTGCAGCGCGTAATGAGAACGTTTGCAAACATTCTGATTTTTTGGATAATTTATAACACTTTTCTGTTGTTGCAGCTATGCTATTTACAACGCGCAGCTGTCTGCAGTCGTTTATCATATGCGAAAATATCAATATAAAAAGCATAAGCTTGYTCTCATTTATTAGCGGCGATTTTAATGACTTATTTACAGCGCTTCGGGCACTGAATCAGCTCGCCATCTTAATAGCGAAATCGTGCTCGCTTTGCGTACAAACATACATATATGCATTACATATGTATAAACAATTTATTTTTATTTAACAGCATTTATGCGCCTACCATAAGGCCGGTCTAGGTATTTAGTTGTGTAGTTGTTGCTTGTCGCGACAATTGCGTGGAGCAAACTAATAAATTATATTGAACAATAGCTATTAGAACGCGTTCTCGCTGCTAAACATTCTAATTCCTAAACGCCATTAAATGCTTGTAAATATTTTATAAATTTCATAATACATTAAGTGAATTTCTTTTTTTATAATTTTTACACCTTTGCAACATTTGCGCTTTGTTTACACTATTTCCATAAAATTATTTCACATGTTTTACATAAATATCGTATTTCAACGGCGCATAATTTAACGCTAATGGCTGCAATGCAACCATTTATTTGGGACACAATAATGTCGCTCAGCAGGGTGGCCAGGTGGTTTTCATTAAGTAAAAAAAATTGCTCTTGGTTGCGCATAATTAAAACAATCAAAAAAAGAAGATGTTTT